TTGGATTTATAAGGTCCTAACCATGGCCTATCGTTTCAGAATATCAAATCGAAAATCTAAATTTTGAGTGGTACCGGCTCCACATAAAATTGATAGGTCCTCTCGCGGACCCTCTCTTAAGCTCTATCTGAATAAATATGATTTCTTTGTTAAGAAACTACATCTATAGTAATGAAAGATTTAAAAAAATATATAATTGACAACAGTGATAAATTTTCAAGTCCATAGAAATCTAGTCTTGAGAATGTCTTCATTGTATTCAATATAGTTTCTAATACTTTACTTTAAATATGCACGGTAAGAGAAATCTTTAATCTCTTCCAGAAGATGCAATATTTTTTATAAATTATGTTTTCTTCCAATAAAAGTATTAATTTCGAATAACAAGAAAAAATTTTATTTGAAGTAAAAACAAAAGTTAGTAAATTACTAAATAAATACTGATCGTGCGGCTTATGTATGATGAGTCCTAAACATAAATATTCAATTCTTATAATTATTTATAATAGTAAAATTATCAATCGATTGCAAATTAATTACAAAATAATCTTTCTTTGTCATTAAGGGTGTGGATTTCTAAATAATTAACCCCACATCATCCTATAGAAAAGTGTAACTAAGCAGACCTTGCATCTTCAACAAGAGACAAAGAAAAGATGAGAAATATTCCATGGTATCAATAGCTCAATCGTCAACAAGAGAAAACAGTGACTTTATAGAGTTTGTTCAACCAATGATATTCCTCGGGTAGAATGGCATTTAGCATGTATGACTGTTGATAAAATCAATCGATCTGCACCTATTGGCAACACAGCATTATATGTAGCATCCTATCATAACAATGTAGCTATTGTATATCTATTAATTAAACATGGTGTGTCAGTTTCGATTTAAAATGATTCAACAAAGCTAAATCCATAAAGAAGAGATAACTTCTACTTGTATAAAGTATCTGCCGAGTGAACTTTTGTGGATCCACCAACACGTGAAACAAAGCAAATATTTGATATGACATTACAGAATACCATTTCATAGTATAGGTTTGTAATTTATACTGAATTATTTGCTTAATCCTTATGCACTCATGGACACGTTCAAAAGGCAGCTTGAGGGTGTGAGTATGCTGATCCATTCATACTCACACATCCAGCTGAGGTCAGATAAAAAAAATAGAACGAGAAGAACATCCAATTTGCTTTACTTTTCATATGATCATAAAGGCTTGAAATGAACTAGCTCCAATAATTATTTGGACACCTATAACCTCGATCATACAACAAGAATTTAAGAAAAAAGAGAAAGAAATTTATGTCAAATTTACTTATATATAATTTTTTATTTTAAATCATACCATCGTATATTAAAGACAAATATTAAATAAAACTTACTATCTGCCAGAGCTGTTCATGAGGTCGCAACAATCGACGTGTGTGTTGCCCTGCAGGGCAACTTTGACGCCGATTGTTGAGCTCTCATAGACAGCTCTGCTATCTTCATCAGCATTGCAAAAAAAAAACTCGTAATGTCAGTTTTGAACCAATTTAAACAAATCTTTTTTTAATGATTTTCCCAGGTAGATCAAAATGGATATCATTTATGCTTCGTTTTTCGTCAGTAAACGATGGGGGAAACAGGAACTTTACGGCAATAAATTAACGGTATTTTTAACCTGGGCTTTGAAAAAAGAAAAAGACTTCTATTTTATTTGTATGTTATGATGTTTTCCACGTACCACTCCCAGCTCAGTTAGTCATATCATGTGTGCTTTTTTTAGCGATATCATTAAAATCATCACGAACTAAAGTCAACTTTTCTTGAGAAAATGTTTCAATCACTTAATGTCACGGTATGTAACAATTGGAAAGAGAGCGACGACTACTATCATCACTATCTAGTACTTAATCGTAGAGCACTTCGCTCGTTTAATGGAATTAATTTGAGGTGTGCATGCTAAGTACTATAAAACAGCAGAATGACAGAGTTTTGAGTGTTTCACACATCAAATCTTACCACTTGCGAAAAGAAAATGGCTATTAACCATTTCAGCAAGGAATGAATTCGATTGTATCGCGGATAATCAAAAAAAGGGAGCAGCCAGCAATCAACAGCTGTCAGTATTCGAAAGAGGACATATAGCCTTATCATTCTTAGCAGAAATATAACGATCGAACAGTGAATAGTACCGATCAGTTCTCAATTGATATTTTCAAAAATGACATTCTGAAAATTTTATTTCAAAACTCCATGAGTAAGGTGCCCCACAAGTCATTTTTTTTATTCAAATGCTTTCTTCAACGATGAAGCAACTAGATTTTTAAAATTCTGCTTACCTCTGATTAAGAGCTCTATGGATGCAATTCATGGGATAAACAAAAATTAAAGAATAACAGAAAATGCACAACTGAAATAAAGAAAATGTGTAGGCGGAACATGAATAGACCTATGACAACTTTCAGTTCAACGAATTAGTTCTTTCCCGAAAATTGAGTCTAGTGACCTGTTTTTTTCACATGAGCTGCGCTGTTGAAAAGTTAATTTTCGTCTAGCTCTAAGGTTCCGACAGCTTCATCCCAACGCATATGTGCGGTTTAATCATATGACATGGACGAGCTACAATGAGATGTTTATTGACACGAATTCTTTTCAAAAGGCCTAATCACTAGTTCGAATCTTCTGAAAAAAAAAAGCTAATGATCGAAACCAATTCTGTTTCTCGAACGAGAACTGTAACATGCTATATTACTAATAAGACAATAAGAAATTTTCCTGAATCTGATCATTTATCTTTTCAAGCGCTTTCATGAGTTTGAAAGCTTCATTTAGAGCTAGGCGTAAGAAAACTGATTATTCTATGACCCAGGCCATGAGTGGAAAAGGTGTTGCGGTGACATATTGCTTCATGTCGACTTGACGTGTCACTTCATGGAACTCTCTTGTCTGTTGTCTAGTGAAAAGAAAAGATTATAAAAGAACAGTATTTGACAAAATTTAATACCGTCCATCTATAGAAGACAGAATGCACTACGTAGATCTGTTGTGAACCAAATTTTAGCAGCATTATTCGTTTAAATCCGTAGCTGGTACAGATATTAGAAAAAAGAGTATCTTAGGCAGAAAAAATGATTGAATTAACCTCTCTCCTTATGACCACTACATGCATGACGAATGATATTTTTCATTATTTTTTTAGGTCTAATTTTCTCTCTATAATTTGGATATTGATAATTCACGTGTACGAATGATTAAAATAATGATCTTTCTTTATTTTTTATGGATCATGAAGCATTATTTTTTTTTTATTGTAGTGTCTCAAAAAATACAGCAAGCTCTAGTGAATCCTATGCCATCGCTTGTGATCTGTGGCATTATTGCAACCAAGGTCCGAACCTTGGCACGGTCATTGTAGTTAACGGTTGAGAGCCATGACCACTTAAATTACTGATCACATGGATCTTCATCTGATTGTAATCTGGTATAGTTGGCCCATATGAATGAATTTGGGAACGTCCATGTGAGAATGCTTTTCCTAAAACATAGTATGGTCCTGAACCCATGAGTTCACTTTTTTCTAAAAAATAACGATATACCAATGTTCCATTAGTGTTATAAACTGACCATTCATATAATTTCATCATGTAAGGAAAGCCTGGATAAAACTGAACAGGTTCAAAAAATTCGATTGTTTCAACATTATATGTATCAACATCAAATCTGTCTCTAGTAAAACTAGTGATACTAGCTGGCCATAAATTTCCCAAAGAGCTTTTTAATTGTTTCAGTTTGAATACGATGCGTTTGGCACCCAGTCGATCTTGTTTGGATTGTTCGTCATCAGCAGTAGATTTTGAAAGTTCAATGAGATATTCTACACAAACACCCAAGACTTGCTGAATACTTTGCAATAATTCTTGAGTTGTCGTTTGAAATTTTTGTTGCCACTCTTGACATGCTTCGTCAATAGTATTTAAAAGAAATTCTAAGTCAACTGCAGCTGCCATAATGTATTCTTTTCAGCAATACGAAATTCTGAAAACTAAATAAATACAATTCAAAGAATCACTCGAATTAGTCAATCCCTTTTCTCTTACAAAAAATCTTCTATTAACATTGTGAGGTCTGCTGACTTGACACTTACAAACATCGATTCATGGTTCAATTTTTCTATCCTCAAAGATCATCTCTCTCCCCTGTTCTGCGTTTTTTCGTACTTCTTACTTGCATCATCGCTCCCATGATTGTTCATGATAACATCCGATTGATAGAGTTTACCAGAGCAACACTTGCCTACTTCAACTACTCCCTTTATATATTGAGCACGTAACACATAGCTGGTATACATAACAGGCAAAGATATATTTATCTTAATATCATAGAAAAAGAACATAGTTAGCAGATAGATAACTATTTATGGAAGAGACATGGTTAAAAATAAAAGACAGTGTACAACATATGATCAACTAATAAAGTATTGAAACACGAAAGAAAAGTGAGAAAAGAATGAAATGGAGAAAAGTGATGATCAGTGAGAACGATATGAAGCTCAAAATCTACTGAGAAAATCAATTAAAAATGCAATACCTCAGTAATAAAGCTAGAGAAGATTGCATTCATCTGGACTATTTTTTTTTCATTAAGCTGTACAGAAAATATATTGTCTCTGTTTGTAGCCTTTTCGTTGTCTTATATAAAATGCGTGAAAGAAAGAATTAGAAGAAAAAAAGAGAGAAGAAAAAACGAATGAGAACAATAAAAGAGAAATAGAAACTAAGCACAAACTTTAAGGTACATACTCTGTCTGTGATAACCAACATAGGCATCTACCCGTATACACTACGTAGGTAGATATATTATTGTGATGTTTCTTGATACGCGTGGGAAAAGAAGAATGATTGTAAAACTCTACTGATCTACTGTATTTGTGTCAACCTTTGATCGAATTTTTATTTGCGATTAAGGAAAGACTGAGCAAAATATGAGAGGCTGTAAGTGAAACAACATCTATGAACAATGATAACATCAAGTCAAGGAGATGAAAGGAAACAGAAGACGAATATAAACGGAAGAAACAAATAAGAGAGAATGACGCATGAAATAGAAAAAGAAAAGAACGAAGAAAATCAAATTGTGTTTCCACTGCGATGAGTAAGAGTGATAAATGAAATAAAAGGAAAGAGAAAAAAGACAATTGGATGGCAGTCTAAAGTACCAAAAAGAGAAAACAGATGCTGTAAGGAGAAAAGTTCCCATGTAAAAAAAATGACGGGAAAAATCAGATTTTAATTGATTCTTACTTGATAACCGATTTTAATCATATTCATCGGAGATATGTGCTTTTCTCGAGATTTGAACGCGGAGCCCTAATTTTTTCATATATTTTTGGATTCCCCGCTGACATAAACTATGAGGCTGAAACTCGACAAATACATTAAAATTGGAACTGGTATATAAACTGTTTCAATTGAAATTGCGCAATTACTTCATTAATCGATTAAAATCGATTATTTAGATTTTTCAGAAAAACAAAATCGATTTTAATCGATTGAAATAATCGATTAAAATCGATTTTAATGAATTTTTACTCAGTATAATCGATTCTCGACTCGAATTTAATCAGAATTTGCCACTTTTACTCGATTTTTCTCTCGGAAATCAATTTTAATCCGATTTCCAGGCTTGTTTTTTACATGGGTTACTGCTGTTGATCACAAGTTCTACTGTGAAAGTTTGCTTCATTGAAAAACCTTTCGCCGCAATTCCTACTAGATTAAAATGTGAAACACGACAGAACCGATTCAATAGTAATGTAGAAATCTCGCCATATGGGTCACAGTCGGGGTGACAAGCAAGAATTGTTTTCTTTTCTCGCTGTTTAGCTCAATGTTTAGTCACAGCTATGTTTGACACAGCAGAAGCCGGAACAAAATTCATATTTGTTCTTCAAATTCATAAGAGAAAATTTAGAATAGTAATACTCTTAGTCAACTTGTTTAATTCAACTAGATATCTCATAGTTGGCAACAGACATGACATTCATATATATTCGCACGATTTTTGTCTGATTTTTCTTTGTCAACATTTAAATATAATTGAAAATACGACGTGTCATTTATGACACAATCAATATGAAAATATTTCTGATCGAATTCAAATCAATATTAGTACAACAATTGAATGATAAATATCAGGATAAAAACTATAGTATTGCCGAATTCTTCTGAGGATCATTGAGAGTGATCAACGGTTAATAGTTTAACTTAATTGGAAAAGAGAAGAGAAAATTGTTCTAACAATAAACAATTCATTAACGATCATTTCGGTCATTTTTTTCAGAAGCATCGTGTCAAACAATTGACAGATTGATGTGAATCGTATCGTCTAAAGTAATTGGTTTTTGTTGAAACGAAATAATAGAAAGAAAAAAACTACCGTGTAGTACATTTATTTCTCTTCTCTTCTCTTCCTCTTATTCGTGTACCTCTTCTCTTTTACTATCGAATTACTTATGTTTACTCCTTCTTACTTATTCCATGAATGCCTTCATAAGCGTGTGTAAATATTTGTTAAAATTAGTGGAAAAAATGTGTTTTGATCATCAAATTTTTAAACTGCGAAATGATCACCAAAAAATTAGTGATTTGATCACCAAATCAATCATGAGTTGAGCCAATTAAGTGGAAAAAAATATTCCCATAAATGAAATTCAACTTCTCTAATTGTACGCAATCAAGATGAACTTATTAGCTGATAGTAATGATGAATTACAATATTATCATCAATCGTAACAAAAAAAAAAATCTTGAAATGAGACGGAGAGTGAGGAGCAGGGCGAGAATGTGGGTGATCTCTGAGTATGAAGATTTATGCGATGTGGATAAGATTTAGAATAAGAGAATTATGCTTTCTGTTATAATATTTCGTTTAGTTAACGGAGTGCATACCCGGAGATGCTCTAGTCGTTGATAGTATGGCATTAATTTCATTGAATTCTTTGTTCTTCATTTATCTTTTTGATTTTGCCACCTATAATTAGTTTGGTGATCATTTCGCAGTTAAAAAATTTGGTGATCAAAACTCAACTTTTAGGTGATAAAAAAAAATGCTCACCCAAATTAGTTTAATACTAAACTGTGAAAATGACTGTAATATCATAAAGCAAAAGAAAAAAAAAAACTTGTTTGTTGATGTGGGTTGATTCAATAATTTGATGATTGATCTATTAATCAAGATTGTCTTTCGATGCTCACTTTCAAGACAGAAATCACGAATCACTTCTCAAATGATTACACGACAAAAATTGAAACAGCAATGGTCATTCAAATAATAGAAAATAACGAAAACGTGATGAGAAATTACTTGTTTAGATCTATCTTCCTACCAAATGGTCTCATTTCGAACGATACACTGCAACGACTGTTTAACTGATTTGCGTGTATTTCACAATCATTTCCACTAACAATGACACTAAAGCATCACTTAATGATTCAGTTCATCGACCACATACACCTTGGCCAATAGGTCAACAAATAGTCTAGTTGACTAATGCAATTCAGTCAAACTATTCTTCTTATCTTTATTACCAACCAATATTCGATGTTCACCACCTATCACTTGGTCACTTGTAACAGTACAATGTCATGTAACAACACAATACTTATATAATTAGTCATAAAGACAGTTTGCTCGTCATTCATAGAACTATGCTATCAATAGGATAAGTA